GAACACCGGATCAGCAATTCTGAAGTACGTCGAATGGTATTCGGGAGAAATAACTCACCCTCGATAGATGAACTGATCACACTGCACAGGTTGGGCTGGCTTGGCCACGTGCTGCATATGCCAGTCGACCGACTTCCTCGAAGGGCTCTTTTTGGCCAACCGTGTGCAGGGTGAAAGAGAGCCAGAGGCGGTCAAACAATGACTTAGCAGCGAAGTATGAAAGCAATTACCAGCAAACTCAGCTACGCTGGTCACTGCCGTTTTCCTGGATGGGGACCCCGAGACGGGCCACATCAATGGCTAGAGACATTGTCAGATATGGCCCAGTCGCGCCCCCAATGGCGCTCGTGCATCCAAGCTATTGCCTCCAATGCATAGCTTCTTTTCCCCCCCCCTCCACTTGACAGCCCATTGTACCTATCCTTCCCAAAACATCGGTGAACGAAACTGCGACAGCTACGACCACTGTACGACGAGTACGCGGTTATTACAGCTGACAGTGATGATGATGATGATGATGATGATGATGATGATGATGATGATGATGATGATGATGATGATGATGAGTGCTGTCCCCGCTTCAGTGCCTTTGTTCCCGAAAAAGACTTGCTGACCTGGAACACAACAGTCTTATTGCAAACAAGCAAGTGTGAGATTACCATGCCTTGCGCTATATATTGAAGGGCACCGTCTGAGTTTGATCAAAAGCTGTCTGACCGGCGTTGTTTGGGGCTTTGGGATAATCTTCCTGACACGTGCTACTAATAAATGTGACAAAATTAGTGCATGAAAAGCACATTCAAATTATCTGCCTCCTAGAATTTTTACCAACTCCATTCAAGTTAGAACATTCTGTTTTTTAAACGTTTCCTAACGCATTAGTAAGTGACTTTATGATCAGTTCTAACTTTGGCCGGACAGAGCATGCCTTCTTAAGGGTTCCAAAACGCTGACAAAACCCATTCGTCCCATATGCGGATTTAAGCATATGTCGAGGTGTGCGTAATTTTTCGTTCTTGGATTCCTAAAGAAAACATTCGAATCCACTAAGAAACGGACTCCTCATGCATCGGAATAAAATTACTATATAACTATTTTGGAGTCTTAAGCAACTCATACCGCTCCATAGATGCTCTGTTTCTCCTTTGGTGGGCCTATAAGCTGTGGGGACAAACAGAATAGTTTTGACTTAGTAGACCGGGCAGAACGAAGTGGGGTTGTTTTGCAGAAACTCCAATCCTTTAAGTTGGGTTTTACATAAATTTTAGACGGGTTGCTTCGATCCAGGACTCGCCCGGATTCTTGGGTGCAGTATAGTCAAGTCAGGTTTATCCCAACAAATACATCCTAAAAAGTGACAAATTCTCTGTTGTCGAACCGTGTTTCATGATCCCCCTCTTCTTTCCTCAACTTCCAATAATAACAAGTTAATCCAGACGAATAACCCCGAAAGAAAGTTTCAATCCACCAAATATCAACTTTTTCCCATTCAAGATTTCAAAAGACAGTATAATGATGCAATACAGATGAGAGTCTACCTGCAATACCCTTTCGGTGAATAGCTACCATGCCACTCTATGGAAGCATGAAAGGTGGGGTGTTATCCGCCTACCCAGGTTTATACACGAGTAGATGAAACGCAGAGGTCGGGTTTGAAACACGGACCTCACGGTTAATAAGTTCATGCCCTAACCACTGAGCTATCTCAAGCCCAGAGTCTGGTTTGATGTGCCCACTTGAGTTTGGGCTGTTATCAACAAGCGAATGAATCGAGGTGTTCCGTATATGTCTGTTGATTCCATATATGAGGAGTTGAGACGTATCTTCTATGCATATTCAGTGCTCGAGTCCCAATTGCTTGACTTGGAAGCCATTATTACATAGGTAATTTCGGCTTGAACAACTTCCTCTTCGTTTACCAAGACGTTTTTCGCTATCAAACCGTATTTCCCTGAAAGTCACATGCAGAGTTATTGGCAGAGAACCTTTTCATCAATCATCCTTTTCGATCAGGCAGTTTTCTGTTCCAGCGCCTCTGTTCATTCTCACATGTGTATTTTTCAAAATACTTGACTTCGATAAAACCTAAGACGCCTGTCCTGTGAGGTGTTTCGCTGAACTGAAACATACCCTGGTTACATTGCTAGCACAAACCACCAGTGAGTGATGCCGACGATCGAAAACTCTTGATCCATGGCCTTGGTGATAGAACATGTGACCATCATGGATGGTGCTATTTGTAGGGAAAGTTGTGATTTCAAATTCCTGATAGGTACCTCATCGCTTTATATTTATTGCTGGATGTTCAGCTACACGAAACCCACAGTTTGTGTCAAAATATTATAGTTATCTATCGCAGCATCCATCTGAGTACTCAGGGTGAAATAATCTCCACCTCAGTTACCACATCTGACGGGGATCGCCTACAGCCTATTTCCTCATCTTAGACCCCAGGTAATGCTAATAATGTACCCCGTTTTTCTTCATTTTCTTTACTGCTTAGACTATTCAATTTTTTATACATCTCCAAATGTTGCTAGTCATTGATCTGCTGGGACCTGAAATCACGTTGGTCTCTGAGATATTTGGGTCTACTTTGTGAATATACTCGATCACAACTACATACAGGGTCTAACAGGTGAAGTACCTTGGTTACAGGTGCACGGTCCTTGATCGTGGTTTAAATTCAGTGATGAGCTATCCTTTTGATGAGAGCAACAATAAATATTAAAATCAGTCCAGGCAATCTGTATTGTCCTAAACAGATAGAGATATATAATGCAAACATAGAGATACGCGACTCAGTGACGGATGCACTGCAATGCAAATCTTTCGATCGAAAGATTTGACGGGCGATGTTCAGACCAAGCTCTTAAGGCAAGAAACTAGGAAAACCGGAGCAATAGCGAAATTTCGATGTGGTAAATGGGAGACAGTGTTTGCTGAGGCTCGTAGATGAGTGGAGAATAGGTCTCCCAGGGTAAAACACGTTCCTCAGTCCCTTCAGTACGCACAAGTAGACCAAGAAGTCCAAAGGTTCATTCTGGAAAAGTTGGAAATATTGACATGAAGAGGCACGGGCCGCGGAAGGGAACTTCGAGAGTCGTAGTATCCGACGGAAAATTCGATCAACCAACACGTAGATAAGATCGGATTTAAGCATTACCGCGTCCAAAGGGTCAATACCTGGACTAGAATACCCGGAGGAAGCATATTATCCAATTAACAACCTAAGAAACAGGATACTCCTTGGAGTTTCATCAAGAAGGGTCAAAACGTAGAGCTCAGAGAGGCCAGGGAGGTCATTCGAGCACTTGTCAGTGGAGGAGAGCAAGGGTCAAGCTCAAAAT